AATATATATATAATTATTATATAATATAATTATAATATAAATTTAAATAATATTTATTTTAATATTGTATTATATTATTTTATATATATATTAGCTTCAACCTATAAACTTTTCGCATAACAATTTTATAAATAAAAAATTATATTAAATAAATAACTTAAATTGGACCGAATTTCAACGCTAAACCATTATCGAATTTACCTGAAGACACACACAAAATTTCATTAAAATCGGTCTAGCCGTTTAGGAGCAGTTCAGTGACATACACACGCACAGAAGAATTATATGTATATATAAAGATATTATGTTAAATTATTATTATATTATAATATTTATTTTAATTTATATTTTAATATATATGTGTATATATTTTTTAAATAATGTATAAAACAATGTGTGTCCATTTAAAAGTTGTTTTTTTTATTTTTTTACTAACTGTCAACGTTTGTTCTACACACTTCGAAACAATTCATCCGAATCACGTGCTTTTCTTTTTTTTTTTCTATTTTATTTTTCTTTTTTATTTTTCAACGCATTAAGCATCCCTCCGACACCATTTTCACTTTGTCTGTCTCTCTCGATTCAATGTTCGTTTGAATAAAATACGAATTAACTCTCGCACGTCGTTTTTATCCTTTTTAAAATTCTCTCTCGTCAAGTTTTCCCGCACTCTTCGAGATACGCGAGAAGCTTAATTCTCTGTAATCGGTGCAATTTTCATTATTTTTTTTTCAATTATTATTATCATTATCATTATCATTATCATTATTATAATTTTGTTCGATTAAAAAGATTTTCTTATTTGCCCATCTATTTTTATTCGTGTATTTTGTTTGTTAAATTATTAATTATTAATGTTTCAACAACGATAGACAGAAATTATTGCGATGAAGAGGAGAAAGGTGTTTCAAAAAAAAAAAAAAAAACAGAAAATTGTAAAACCTACAAGCAATTTGATTTGAAATACCGTTTATATCGAATACTCGTTTTATCTCATTGAAACGCGTTAAAACGAATTCCTACGTTCTCTCTCTCTCTCTCTCTCTCTCTCTCTCTCTCTCTCATTCATTGAGGTTTTAAATATATATATACATCCGATTCATTAATATTTAACACAAAATGCAAATAAAATGTCGAAACGCATTAATGTCGAAATAATGTACTTGCTTGCTTTTTTATACGAGAGTAAGTAACGGATGTAAAGAGAAGGGGAAGGGTGATAGAGGAAAGGGAAGGGTTTATTTAAATGCACGCATATATAAAACATTACACCCCCCAAAGTGTATACGAGTATAATTTCGAGTAAGTTTTAATAGCAATACATTTTAGTTGTTTATATTACGACTTGTTTTATCAATGTTATCTCGTAGTTTTTTTTTTAATTATTCTTCATAAAATCGAATATTGTCAAATAATTTTACTAAAAATAGAGAGAGAGAGAGAGAGAGAGAGAGAGAGGGAGAAATAAAATTACATTGTATAAAAAACAAAATGAGTGTAAAAAAAAAAAAGAAAATAAAAAATAATTGTCATTAAATTAATACATTTCAAATGTGATATAATTTAAATAATAAAAATGATACTTTATTTCAAATTGATCGATGTGTACGAATACTTTTTACACCCAGTGTATATTTATGAGATTAATTATGTGTAAAGATATTAAGAAAGAACGGAAATAGAGAGAGAGAGAGAGAGATTTGTAAAATATTTGTGATAAATCGACGAGGTACAAGAAAATCGGATCAGAATTTCATGACCGGAAGTTATCGAACGTTGTTTTGTTCGAATAAAAGAATTTGTTTGATAATACTTGGAGCCACAGGGAATAAATCCTCCATGGATAGAGTATCGTAATAAAAAGTATAGAAAAAAAAAAAAGAGGGGACGAATAACGCAATAAAGGACGCGGATATTTTTTTTTTTTTTTCAACGGTACATTTGTTCTTTTTTATTTTTTTCACAAATCGTTCCGACAACCAACTTCCGATTCGTGTTATTTACAAGCCCGTCAATACGCCTGTTCTTTTTATTTTTTTTTTTTTTTTTTTATAATTCGTTTCTTCACTAACCTTTTCTTTTTTTTTTTTTGTTTAAATTGAACTACCGTTATAGGTTATTTATTTTATTTTTATTTTTATTTTTATTTCGTTGACTTTCGTTGACTTTTACCTCGTAAAGACTCGTCGTTTACCTTTGTTATTATTTGTACCTTTTCTATTTGATTTTTATTCCTTTCGTTACTTTATTAATAAATACTTTGAAACGTATTTTTCATTAAAGAAAATAATTAAAAAAAAAACAACAACAACAACAACAAGAAGAAAAATTGTACAAATGAAACAAACCTTTTGCGATACGCGACAGAATTCGAGATTAATTGGTAAAATAATAAACAAAAAGAAAATAAAAAAAATGAATATACACCGATAAAATAAATATAATAATTGTTGTTATATCAATAAAAAAAAAAAAAATAAATAAATAAATGCGTTACGTATTGTTTAAATAATAGGTGGATCGTGCGGAGAAGAAGGAGGGCCAGGGAGTGGGAGATCCGGCAGCATCTTCGGCTGGTTGCAGCGGTGCTTCCGGTTCGAGGATGGGCCCAGGGCCCGATTCCGGTAGCAGTGCACCTTCTTCGGTTCCCCAATCTCTGGCTACGTCACGTGACGAGGAAGACGACGAGGATAAGGAGAGTAGTGGTAGCCGAACCAATAACAGTCACGTTGGATCGCGGTGAGTTTATTTATTATTATTATTATTATTATATTATAATATCGTTTGTGTCATTAGTCATTGCAACTATTTCCTTTTCAACCCATTTTCAATTTTCTTTCTTCGTTTTTTTTTTTTTTTTTACCTTTTTTCCCCGTCATTCGCCCTTCCCCGCACCGTCATTTGTAACATTTCCCGCGAAAAATGTGCTGCCGCGTCACGTATTGGACAAGGGGCGGGCCATGGGCGTGGTTTCTTCTTTTCCCCGCCCCCTTTCTCTCTTTTCCATTTTTTTTCTCCTCAAATTGACAATAATTATCATAAATTATTGTCAGAAATGTTATCATTATTCATCGAGAACGTAATTTATTGTCGATCTCGTTGAACGTTCGCAATGTGGTGGCTGTGTTTGTGTGAGTATGTGATGCGCGCGTGTGTGACTTTTTTTTTCACCCCCGTCCTTTTATTTCTTTTTACTAATCTAATAGTACAAAAAGAAAAGTCAAAGAAAAGTTTTTTTTTACTTCTCTTCCAAATCGTTTAATCTGAAAAAAAAAAAAAATAAGAGAAAGAAGTTGAAGCCATTTTCATTAATCATTTTAAGTGACAAGGACTAAACGGTAGTTAATCTTCCATTCTATGGTTTTATTTCTTTTCTTCGTAAAAAAAAAAAAAAAAGAAAATTATCACAGGTAGACAGTAATACTATAAAGATTTTCTCCGAAATATTCCATTTCCCCATTGGTTGCGCCAATTATATTGCGTAAGTTCCCCATTTACGCGATGTAGTTTATTTAATTGATCCTTTGAATATAATTATCTCATTAATTAAAATGATCTGAAGATAATTCGACAGATAAATTAATATATAAAAGGTGAATGATATTATTCATTATTTTCTGTAAAACTTCATTAGAGCACCTTGTTCAGAAATTACAGAATAGATGTTTTAATATTTTAGAAAAAAATGGAACTTTGAATGTATATAATAATGATCTAATTTATAATAATATAAACGATAATTCGCACGAAGATCTTT